TCTTTGTCCAAAGATTTTCATTTTTGAAACTCAACACTGAAAACAGGCTCCTCTTTCACACTGTGTGTTGGTTGTAGAAACAGTTGGAGATAGGTTGCATTCAGGAACAGTAAAAAATATGTTTCCCGACACACTCATTGGGCGTTCATTGTCATTTCATAAATAGCTGCCATGAAAAATGAGCAGTTTATATCTACATACACCAAATACTACTACTAGTACTACTAACAAGTATTTGGTAGGCTACCTTTGAACAGTTCAAAACAACATATTCAAAATCTGACTCCATCACTGTCTTTTTCTATTTTTATCCACCATCATTGGACGGATATTGTATGAGTTTGGCAAAAGTTAACATTTTTTGATAATTCAGTCCAACCAAAGCCTTAATGAGTTGAAAGCTGGACAAAGATGGTGAATTCACACAGAACATTCCTCTCAACCAGTCAAACAACATAACAGATATTAAATCTGTATTTCCAAGTCAAATTTTATGTGATCACCGATAGTCATTTCACATACTAACAGGTTTTTTCCACAACAGCTGTTACTAAAAACAGGTCAATATTAGCTTTGTATGTAGCTGAGGCATCACCAATAAAAACTAAATAAAYAAATAAAATAAAATGTCAGAATTTGAGAACTAAATCCCAACTCTTCCTGTAGTTGAGGGAAAACCTGTTGAGGTCACGAGCGACCCTCCATTCCTACTTCTAACATTGGATTGTTACCAGAGTCAGCTGGTTTGTAACTTTTATCTAACACAAATATAAAATGACTGATTTCATGACTGGTGGCACGCAGGTAGACACATCACCTTTCAGCAAAGAGGTTGCAGGATTGCATCCCTGCCTGGGACTCCTTTCTGGGTGGAGTTTGTGTGTWCTCCCTGTGCATRCGTGGGTACTCTGGGTTTCTCCCACATGCCAAAGATATGCATGTTAGGTTAATGAGTGGCTCTAAGCTGTCCCTATAGGTGTGGGGTGAATGTGTGAACRGTTGTTTTTCTCTCTGAGTCTCTGTGACGGRCTTGCAACCACTGAAGGAGGAGCATGTCACATATGGTAGCCGTGTCTCAGATTGGTAAAGATATTCTTCTTATTCTGCTGTATTTGTGGAGCTCTTTGATTATTACAGAGTAAACAATGCTGAAAAATGAAAATGAAAGCTACTATTCTTGTGTGAAAGTATATTCTGTTTCCATAAAAGTTCACTTTCCAGTCAAAATATTTAAAAGAAGTGAAGCATGGGTTGTCTTATATATGAAAACCCTCATATGGTCATGAGGTGTGGATCATGACGGAAAGAACGAGATCCCGGATTCAAGTGGCCAAAATGAGCTTCCTTTGTGGCCTGGCTCAGCCTTAGAGAAAGGGTGAGGAGCTCCGTCATCCGGGGGGAGCTCGGAGTAGAGCCGCTGCTCCTCCACATCGAAAGGAGTCAGCTGAGGTGGTTCGGGCATCTGGTCAAGATCTGTCCTGGATGACTCCCTTTAGAGGTGCTAACCGTGTTTCCATCAAGGCTTTTTGATGCGCATTTAGAAGTGTCGCATTAAAAAAAAAAGTTTGATGGAAACAGCAAAATTCGAAAAAAAATCTTCAATTCGCTAAAAAGGTTTTACGCTCGCTTGAGGTGGTTTTTGGATGATTCACAAAGTAGTTAATGCACAAAATGGGAGATGGAAACA